CCCGGCCGCTCGCCCCCGCCGTTGGAGATGAGGGTCCCGCCGCCCGCGCCCCGCCAGAGCCGATGACTCCGTGGCACCGCGGCTGTAACATGCTCCTTGCAGTAGCCAGGTCGAGGTAAGACGGGGGTTGATTTTTCCAGGCGCTCGGTGCCGTAGCGTTCCTGTACCGGATTGGAGGTGAAACGGGCCGAGCATAATCACGCCTAAGGGAGCAAGGAGGCTCCCTGGCACGACAACGGTTGTCTTTAGCGATTTATTGAAGGTGACTGGTGCGGTTCCGATGTTTGCTAGTGCACAAATCCAGTGTAATATCAATGCTTTGAACCAGAGTACTTCCACAAACTCCTACGAAAGATTACCTGGCTAAACGTGAGAAGAGCAAAGGTTGATTTCGCTAATAGTAAAGGATTTCAGCAGTTGCCGTAATGCATAGCAGTCTGTGAGGTCTTAGCTCTCTTATAAAAGAGATCAGGCTATTTAACTGCTTGTCTCTCACCAGTGTGCAGCCTGTCCTTTCCAGCTGACGCTGCTGGGGGAGGGAAGGGGCAGGAAATACAGAGATCTGTATAACGCTCGGTGAGACGAGAAGGGGCTTTGGTTTTTATTTTGTTCGTGACTGGCAAGTTTTAGCCGATGGAATTGGTAGAAGGGCTCCCGAGAGGCAGTCTGAGGTCTTGGGTTACTCTCCCGCAAGAGAAAAGTTGTTAACAAGGGATGAGTTTTCAGTGTTTCAACTGTTGCTGAAGGATGGGAATCTCAGATACTGAGGCAGCCACAAGATCAATTTCACAAGATTAATTTTGGCACTAAGAACACGAATTTGTGTGTAACACGTAGGTACCTTCGCCACAATGCACTATTCCTGTCTTAAATACCTCTCCAGTTTCAGAGGCTCCCATCTTCTTGCGCACTCCAACCCTCCATACTCTTCAGCAGTTGCTTTTGTCCAACTAGTGGATTCTCATTCAAACCGGACTTGCGTAAGAGACTCTGAAAACCAGCCATGGCTGCGCTGCGCACGGTTGGTCAGTGGCCTACCTCACTCACCAGCTAAAGCCGTGCGAACGTTTCACACGTCCGCCTGCTTGCGTCAGGACCTCCGAGACGAACCTCCGCCCCACCGAAGTACTGTAAACCAGGGTACCAAGCCTGCTAAAAGTCCAGCCAAACAAGTTGTAGAGACTGCCGGGGGAAAAAAGTCTTTACGCCAAAAAATTGTGGATGAACTGAAACATTATTACAATGGATTCCACTTGCTTTGGATCGACACTAAGGTGGCTGCCAGGATGGTGTGGAGGCTCTTACATGGTCAGGTCCTCACTAGGAGGGAGAGACGAAGGGTAAGTGCATATACATGAACACCTTGCTAAAATGATGCATTAAGAGGCTTACTGTGATGCAAGACGTTTAACCGCTCGGTTGCCACGCTTCTCTCTTGTCTGGCTGAATAATAATTTCTGCTGTGCTCTTCTCCATACAGTTGCTGAGAACTTGCGCAGATCTCTTCCGGCTGGTTCCCTTCCTGGTGTTTGTCATTGTCCCCTTCATGGAATTTCTGTTACCTGTATTCTTGAAACTCTTTCCTGAAATGCTGCCCTCGACGTTTGAGACGGAGTCAAAAAAGGTACATGTCCTTTGTGAAGCCATAGGCTCTGTACTGCAGCTCGTTAGAACGTCTGTACAACTGCATAAAGAACTGTTGTTTCCTGCCTGCTGCTGTAAATGAGTGTCAGCGTCACGCACACGTCTAGGTCAGACGTTGCTTGCTTATTCCTACACAGGACGGCAGAATTTGAAGACCGTACTGTAGGCAGGGATCAGTGGGGGAAGTGCACAGCAATTTTCTACAGCAACCAAAGCCTATTTGCTTTCAGTACTGAAGTCTTGTTTCATCTCTTTTCCAGAATCCCCCCCTTCTGATTTTCAAGGAATTTTTAATTACGTTTTATTTCCTAAATAAAGGAAGAAAAGCAGAAAAAGAAGTTAAACGCAAAGCTGGAGTTAGCAAAGTTCCTGCGGGAGACCATTGCAGAGATGGCCAAAAGGAACAAAGCAGATACAGGACAAGGAAAACAGTTCTCTTCTTATGTGCACCAGGTAAAATGGGCTGTGCTGGGGATGGCAGCAATAGTACTTATGCCAGCGTTAGTGCTGCTGTTTTGAGCAGAGAATGTGGGGTTTGAACAGAGGTTGCAGAGAGGTTTGACAGCGCGGAACTGTCCTGTCAGGCGTTACTGTTAACTGGATGCGCTCTTGCAGCTGATGTCCCACTGACTCTGGCTTTTGACCTCATCTGTCAGGGCGATCTGCACAGACAAGCATTTCCATCCTGGAACAAGAATGAAAGTCTTACCCTGTGAAATCCTTTAAGTGGTCACTCAAAAACATGGTTTCACTTTGGCCTTTTAACTACATCATTCTGCTTCCACCTGGAGACAGGAACACCGGTGTGAGAAACAGGAGGGGATTCTTCCTCGGAGTGGGAAGAGGATTCACAAACTGTGATTCTGGTTAGGTTTGGCTTTTGGCCCTGATGCCTCTGCTTTGTTTAGATTCGGCATACCGGCCATCAGCCCAGCACCCAGGAGATCGTACGTTTCTCCAAGCTCTTTGAGGATGAGCTGACCCTGGAACACTTGGAACGGCCACAGTTGGTAGCTCTTTGCAAATTGCTTGAGCTGCAGCCCATTGGCACCAACAATCTGCTCCGCTTTCAACTTCTGCTGAGACTCAGAACTATCAAGGCAGATGATGAAGTAAGTTTAAAATAGCACAGATGTGACTGCTTTGGTGGAATGCATGCTTTTCGCAATCTCAAGTTCTGCCCTCTGAATCACTGCCTGCTTTACATAAGGCATGTGTCACTGCCCACACTCCATCCTCGGATTGAACTTTAATATCAATGGGAGTCAGGCCCTCCCCGGGAGAGATTCCAGAAAAAAACGGAATGAGAGTTCATCTTCCTGCAGCCTTGCTGCCTTTGGTGAATCTCATGAGTGTGTCACTGTTTAAAACACCCTTATATTTTTATTCTGGAGTCATACTAACTTGTAAAATAGGGAGGTTCCGATGCTGGAATAAATATTGTATGGAAACACCAGATTTTAACCAACTCAATTCAGTATGAGTTTAGTTTATGAATTGGCTGGATTTATGTAGCCTGGAGAAGGCCAAGGGAGAATCTGCTTGCTTTTCAACTGCCTAGTGGGGTTATTTAGAAAGTGGAACCAGAGTTACAGGTGCATGGTGAACGGACAACAGGTAATGGTCGTAAGTTGCAGCAAGGGAAATTCCAACTTGATAAGAAAAAAAAAAATAAAATCAGTGAGTGGGTAAACAATGGTTGTCCAGAGGTTGTGAAATCCCCATCCCCAGAGAGGCTCAAAGCATAAATGGAAAAGGCTGAGGCATGTAAAGAAACTTTTAAGTTAATCTCTTTTGAACAGGAGGTTGGACTGGGGACCTCCAGAAGTCCCTTCCAGCCTACATTTTGTGACTGTGTAGGAACTGTAATTTGACATGGTGTAAAGAATCCTATTACGACACAGAGGAAAGAACGGAAAACTTCTTGCTAGTAAGAGGTGACCAGCTCTGAACGGCACATGCAGCTAACCACAGGTTCAGCTTTAAAGCTGACAATTCTCACAGTCGCCTGCCTTTGTGTGAATTCTTCAAACCTGTAGGTTCACGTGTAAAAGTGAAATTCCCAGTACTTGGGGGAAAAACAAAATAATCAGGATCGAAGTTTTTCATCCTCTGTAGCTGAAGACTGTCAGCTTTCAAGGACAGGATGAATTATCTACGGAGTCAGTTCTGTCTGATCTTTCTATCTGTATGGCTTTATGCACATTTACCTAAACAGAGGTTTCTTTGGGCTCATCAGGCACATCAGGGTTTTGGTTACTCTGTGCCCAGGTAGGAACGTTCCTTTCCATTTCAGATGATTGCCAAGGAAGGAGTCCATGGCCTGAGTGTGTCTGAACTGCAGAGTGCATGCAGAGCCAGAGGAATGCGATCACTGGGTCTCTCGGAGGAGCAACTAAAGGAACAGCTCAGACAGGCAAGTACGCTCTGGTCTGGCCGCCTTCGACAGGGTTTCTCCTAGGGCAGTGGTGTGCAGTGTTCAGATAGAGCAGGCACGGTTTCACCAAGAATTCATGCAAGTATTCCTGGATGGATCCTCTCCTGCATAGCTGAGCTTTAAGGCATGAAGTGTCCAGATGATGTCCTACACTAAAGAGAAAACCAAGTAACATCAGAGCCAGATGATAGAAGCAAGATGAAGTGTGGGGGGGACAGAATATGTTTTAAGCTTCTAAAGTAGCCAAGACTTGTAGTAGAGCCAATGCTAGTCTTTTATAGGCATTCAAACAGATTACAGACACCGCTGTAGGTGCTGCATTTCAGATAAGCTGTAGATAATGCAAAGTACTTAGCTTTCACTGTTGGCCGGCTGTCAGTAGTGATGCTGGTACCTCACTAGTAGCTGGAAGCTTCCTCCCTAGTGCATATTCCATGCAGTATTCTTAACTCTTCAAAACTATTTCTTCTCTTTGTGGTAACTTAAAACTATATTAGCCAAACTGAAGATAGCCTTAAGATCTTTAAGGACAAAGAGTGCTATATAAATAACTACTGACGTAGAGCCAATATGAAATAACTTTTCCTTCTGTTTTCTTCTAACAGTGGCTGGATCTGCATTTAAAAGAGAATGTTCCACCTTCTCTGCTCCTGCTTTCCCGTGCCTTGTACTTAATAGATGTAAAGCCACAATCTGTCCCGGTTCCGCAAAATAAGGTGAGTTGTTTGAATGAAACTTTCAGGTTAATAGTTTAACCATTACACATTATAAAAATGAAGCACAATGACATGAATCTTGTTCTTTGATCCTCCAAGTGGACTGAAGTTCTAACTGTGCTGAACTATATGTTCTTCCATAGAGAGGTGGAACTGCTGAAATCATGACATCCGTCCCCGAAGATCAAGAGACCCCGGTGGATCCTGCCCCCATTGTTCAGGGAAGAAAGGTTAGAAAATAGCAGGCTACAAGTGGGAAAACGAGCGCGTAGTGCTGTAACCTTTGGGAAGAGCGCGTGAACCACCTCTCCAAAGCTAGACAAAGACCAATGTTTGACACCATTGCACAGAGCACAATGTATATTCTTCTGTTGTGTACGTGTTTTTGCCCGAGTGCCTCACAGTTGCATCCTCTGACTTAGGAGGTAATGAAAGGGTACAGAGATCTGCTGTGGCACGCCTTGTCCCGTTGCTGGAAGCAGCTGGTTGTTCAACACCCTGTTACTGGCTTCCAGCAGAGGAGCACTCACAAGCTTCCAAGTTGCTTTATTTGCATAAATACAGAGATTTCAATCCAGACACATTTAGCTCAGAGAAGCCTGTTAAAAGCGACTCATTTTCAGCTCTCCTAGTGAACTGGGGCTGAGTTGTCCAGAACAAAAAGAGCCAAAATATCTGGGGGAAGAAAGCCAGAGCATATGGTTCTCAGCATAAGACTGAAGTGAATTCCTTAGATTAGTCCAACCTGATAAAAGCAGCAACAGAAATTAAAGGAGAATATTGTGTCAACTGCTAGAAATATTTCCAAATAGCTCTGTTAAATTGCGTAGGGGAAGTAATGGAAATGCCAACACACAGCTTTCACAAACACACATTGCAGGGAACAGCCTTATTCAGAAAAAAGGGAGGGTACAGGGTCTAACTAGAGCTTTGTTTTCCGAGAGGGTTCTGTGACTTAAAGCTGCTTTTTTCTTAAAGAATGAAGAATTTGTATCTCAGCCAGCAGAGAAATTGCCAGTCTCAGAAGTGTCAGTTAAGCCTCCCCCACGAGAGGTAAGCTTTTCAAAATTCTTAGGCTTTCCAAAGGAGATTGTTCTTCACACGACTTATTGACAAACTGGAAATTGATGCTACAGGTGTTGGGAATGATCGGTTCAAGGAACGACTGGAGAAACCGTGGACGAGAACTGCATCGTGGGCTGTTAAATACAGGCGTAGCACATGTGGCTGAGGGACCCCAGTCAAACTGGGGGAGGTAGCAGAGCACCGTGGGGAATTACCAGTGTGTCCTGTCCTCATTCTCTTCCTTAATCATCTGCTTTGGACCACTAGGACAGACTGGCCTTCCCTCAGAACCACCGCAGTGCTCCGAGCCATTTTGTATCTGTAAAAACATTTCTACAGTGACTTGCCTTTTCTTTTGCCTGTTTTCTTTCTCTGAATATTTGATTTCAATTTAGCTGCTTATGTATACATCATGGATGCCCACTTAAGGTGAGTTTGGGAGTCCAAGCTGACTTTCATCGACAGGAGAATGTTCCTTTACCCCAAATAACTTTATTCTTAGGCAACTGTTACTCTCCAGAGCAGCTTACTGGATTAAATGGGAAGATACCTTCTTCAAAAAAGGTTTTGAATTTTAAGAAGCATTTGTGTTGGTACTATCTAAAACCTGAAACTCTCCCTTACACCTAGACTAAAATGGAAGCATCTCAGAGCAGCAAGGCCGGTGCCAACGGAGTCTAGCCTGAAGCCAGCAAGGACTAACGCCAGGAGAGAAGAGCTTTCATCTCTGCACCTCCTTAACAGGAAAGAGAGGTTTTCCAGGAGGTTTTCCAGGAGGCTGCTTTACACGAAAAGGTGTCAGTAGCCCTCAGGGGCCTCTCCCTCTGTTAGCAGCTAGGCCAGGCTAAGACTGGGTGGCACCAGCTTCTCATTTGTACTGGATCCCCTACTCCCCCCATTTAACTTATCTTGTAAATATGTTAATAATGATGCTGCTCTCTGTGCTGTTACTGATCAGGTGTTTGTGCTCTTAAACCTTAGGAAGGGCAGCTTTTCATTGTCGTAAAGGCCCGGGCACAGGATGAGCTAGGCTGAAGTCCAGTAAAGCCTGTTCTACAGTTTGAAATCCTCTGCAGGAACATACCCACGTATCCAGGGCTTGCCGCTTGTCCTGCTGCCAGAGTTTACAAGCTCAAGCTCTTGATCCTAGTTAGCATGGTTTAACTAATAACCAGTGCGCAGAATGACCCGTGTAGCTGTTGTATTTCGCTGTCACAGTTGTACCGAGGAGAATAGCCACAGCCAAGGCAGGACCAGCGCTCCTCAGTGGTGTGGCTGAACTGAACTGCTCAGAAAGACCTAAGAACTTGCTGGACGAGCAGAGCAGTGAAGAGGACAGATTCCACTGCCTGAGCCTTTGTCAGCCAGCGCTGCAGCAGGTTGGCACCTCCAGGCACCGCACAGGAGGCAGAGATTTGCATTTTAAGGATTCCACTGGGTCATGTGGGGACCCACAGACATTTCCCAAGTCCGATGTAGGACTGGGTTAAACCCTACCCGGCTCAGAACTATACATCAGCAAGTGCTCTCAGACTTGCCGTGCTTTACAAAATGATTCTTCACGCGCTCCAGTGTTGACTGGTTTTTTGGTAGACTCTCGAGGAGGATACTGAAAAGCTGTTTTTAGCATTTGTTAATTTTTTTACTTTGTCCTATGTAAATGCTCAGAAATTACTCATATTATGGATTTTAAATATGTATATTTATATTTACTGTAAAATTAAAGTTAGACTTGGTGCTAAGTAGAATGAAATGTCTTTTCTAGAGGTCGGCCAGCCTTTAGAACACTCCGACTCAAAAAAAAAAAAAAAAAGCCAGTCATCTCAAGGTGTTATTGGCACTTTAAACATGTGACTTGCAATCCAGAAACAGCTACCGTTGTACTGTGCTCGCCGTTCTGTACCTGCACCCCTGTCGTGGTCGTACAGCCAGTATGCAATGCCGAGTGTTTCTATTAACTGGTGGTTAGTCAGTGAGAACAAATGTTATTTCAATAAAATAACCTCGTTGCTGAAGTGTCACTCCTGTCTCGGTGTAGCACGGATAGACGTTGCTAGTAGGTGTAACTTTGCTGACAGACAGAATCACCTTTGGCTACCTGTCTACGTTAACAGAAGCCTTGTGCCTTTGATAATACTGTTATTTGAACAGAACTGTGACCTAACGTCTGCTAGAGCCCACTTTGTCTAGAAAAGTGTTTGCCCCCTAAAGAGCTGAGTACAAATGTGGTTCGGTGCGAGATTTCACCGGTGTTGCGCACTGAGATTAGTGTGCAGAAATAAAAGAACACGACGAATTTCTGTGTTATGGCTAAAGCACGGAAATAGCGAGATGGAATTCCTGAATTCAAGGTAAGCGGGAAGAGTTGTGCAAGGGAAAAGTCTCCCTGTTTTAAAACACGCAAACGGCAGTGAACTGCCAGCCCAGCTCACTAAACTGCGTCAAAGCAACACCGCCACAGACAGGAGGAAAATTTTGATAAGATGTAGGTGTGGACAGCATTTCTTGAAGTGCAAAAGAAAACAGCTTGAACGAGTTGTTGCTGTGGGGACTGGGACGCTCCAGCCAAGCAGGACACTTGGGACCTGAAGTTGTCTTCAAGTCACTGAAGCTGCTGTGTCAGTTCAGAAGGCAGAGTAAGCCGTGTGTAGCTACGCGTGTAGCTTGAAGTAGAAAAGCAGGTACCACTAACCCAAGCGCCAAGGTTGGACACCTCGAGTTGTTCAAACGCTGTTAGAGAACTGCAGCTCCAGAGCCATCTCTGCGCGAGGGAAAGCCTCGCTCAGGCTAACGCAATCTGAGGGAATCGATCCCTGTCCCGCGCCAGCAGGTACATACAATTCCCTTACTAGCGAGGACGTTTCCAGCTCTGCCACACTGCCCTGAGCTCCTGTCCTTTGCCAGCAGCCAATAGTTTACGTTACTATTACCAAGGGACGTGTTTTTCCCAGTACAAGGTGAAGGGGCCACGCAGTAACGGGTCTACACACGAGTCGCACGAACCAACCTCTGCTGGCAGCCACCGTCGCGGTGCCCACGCC